GATGGTGATGATGATGTTGGTTGTGGTGGAAGTGATAGTGGTGGAAGTGATGGTGGTGGAGGTGATGGTGGTGGAAGTGATGGTGGTGAAAGTGATGGTGGTGATGATGTTGGTTGTGGTGGAAGTGATGGTGGTGGCGAAAGTGATGGTTGTGGTGAAAGTGATGATGTTGGTTGTGGTGGAAGTGATGGTGGTGGTTGAAATGATGGTGGTAGAGGCGATGGTGGTAATGATGATAGTGATAATGACGGATGGTGGTAATGATGTTGATTGCGATGACTGATGATGAGATGTTGGTGGTGATAATGATGGTGGTGGTGATAAGGATGATGGTGGTAGTAAAAGTCATGATGGTGATGCTCATGATGGTCTTGTGGCATTGATAGTGGTAAATATTACTGATAATGTAAATCTTCCACTTGATGTAGATAAAAGATTTGCGGAAAATGGTGCAGTGGAGTTCATCTTTTCAAGTTCAGCGAATTTACGACCAGGTAAGGGTTCCTATCATTATACAACTATTACTGTGTGTTTCATACATTTACTTTGTGAGAAGAGTACTACTCTCCCGCTATACCCTTGTTTCTTCACGTAACATTGAATTAAGGTGGCTGCTACTGGATGATGACATCACATCTGCAGATAATAGATTTGTCATTTAGAATTTACATCCAGCTTCTTTACATGCAGAAAATATAAAGCCATGGTGGAGATTTGCCTCGGTAACTGAAGCGGAAACTAAACGAGTTACAACCTATGACAGCATTAATAGTTTCGGCTTCGGCAGATAACACAACCTCGGCCTCGATAATTTTAGATATTTACCTTAGTTCTAGGTAGAGCAGTTTAGATTAGAATGTTAGGGTTTGTAATCCAAGTGAGAATATATACATAATATGTATCTTAATATGTATATATTCTCACTTGGATTACAAACCCTAACATTCTAATATTAATTCCACCAAGTGAAGTGCAGAATCCATCATTGAAGTCCACCTTATCACAATCCGCACACCCGATTACCTATATATACATGAACTTAGGATTACAGCTCAACAGCTGGCCTCTGTAGCTCAGTTGGTCAGAGCGCCGCACCGGAATCACGGGGCCGTAGGTTCAATTCCTACCAGAGGAGCTTGTGCTGCATTTTTCGCAGTCGTTCCTGGTTAGGTCTTAAAATGTATATATTCTCACTTGGATTACAAACCCTAACATTCTAATATTAATTCCACCAAGTGAAGTGCAGAATCCATCATTGAAGAGCAGTTTAGAACCGTCCTAGAGATATCTAGTATAAAGGTCCATTTTCACTCAGGGAAATTTTCCGCAGAAAGAAAATTTTGTAAAATGTTATTGGCCGACACAAATTTTCCTTGGGAAAGAATTTTAACAATGATATTTTTGGAAAATTTGCTGTCCGTGGAAATTTTTCTCGAGTGGAAAATGGGCCTTGAGGGATGCCCTTATTGGATCGCGGGGAGGAACAGTCTAGAACTAGTATAACTATCTAGTATGAATATATTGTAAAACGACCTCTTTATTCGTTGTAATTATATAGCAACACGCGGAATCGTCGAGGCCGTTAGGGGGACAGCTTGATTAGATCCACAACAAGTAAAACTTCAATACGTATATCTTTCTTAATATCTTTTAATGTTCCCCCAGTGCGTGCTATGTTCCAATTCTCTCGAATGAATGTGCGTATCGATATCTATTTACATAAGACAATGTTCATTGTTCATTGTGCATTGTCCATAGGTGCGTGCGCATCCTAATCTTAATAACCAAACAAAGTTCAAAGGTTCACATAACAAAGATCAATGGTGCTCTTACAATATAAAGCCAGTTTAGTTGAGGTTTCTCCCCTTGTACTTCAGTGAACTGAATATTCAGTTGTACAACTTTTAGCAATGTTCTTTTAGTTTATGTTTCGTGCTTTTGTAACAATTTATTTTAATGTAACTCCTGTTCTACATCGTATAGGGACGGCAGTTGGTGACACAATGAACGAATTACAATTTTCTGTTCGTCGCAAAAGGATCAAATCTTTCCAATCAACCGATTCCTTGGATAAATGGCGAGAATTTGACGCCATTGATGAGGGAGAGGGGATGGAACTCACAGGTACATATATAGGTTCTTGAGGGATAATACAGGACACTGTTCTGTGTATAAAGTTGGTTGCAGACATGTGTACGTGCTACAAATTCAATTTTACAATATAACAAGTTCAATGGACCTTTCCCCAATTAACCAAAATTTTGAACTCAACAAGTCTAGACAAAAATTTCATCACAGCTTGAAAGAGCATCACAAAATTAGTAATATTCCAAAGTTTCGTTGCAAAATGTTGTAAAATGCGGATAATATAGCCTTGCGAAGTTTACAATTTTCAGTCATTTTAGATTACAAACGGGAAATGGTTACCACTTCTGTGCGTAATACAAAATGACTGAAAATTACAAACTTCGCAAGGCTATATTATCCGCATTTTACAACATTTTGCAACGAAACTTTGGAATATTACTAATTTTGTGATGCTCTTTCAAGCTGTGATGAAATTTTTGTTTAGGCTAATTAAGATCAAAATTTTGGAAAAGTGGTAACCATTTCCCGTTTGTAATCTAAATGACTGAAAATTGCAAATTTCGCAAGGCTATATTATCCGCATTTTACAACATTTCGCAACGAAACTTTGGAATATTACTAATTTTGTGATGCTCTTTCATGCCATGATGGAATTTTGTCTAGACTTGTTGAGATCAAAATTTTGGTTAATTGGGGAATGGTCCATGCATTTTATAACATTTATTGAGTATTCCGCTATACATGACTAAACAATAAATATGGTACAACACATATGTTACAAAACGACAAGACAATTAGTAGATAAACTCAAACGGATGAGCAAAAACGGGACAAGAACAAGATTTTGGGGGAAATAGTGGGGGAGGTAGAAAAATTTAGGGGAGGTGCAGAGACCCCCATGGAAAGTTCGGGCTTGGAACTGGCCAAAATCAACAACATGACGTATGACTGTACAACTCATCCAATTTTGTATGCCCTTCATTACAATTGCTACAAAGTTTCGTTCAAAACATTGCATTAAAAGGGCATTTGACACATAGATGAATGACTATCACTGTTTCAATTTTACAGAAAAACTTTCTTGTGGAGTGTAGCCCTAAACAACCAAAAAATGTCAAATTTTCACTTTGATCTATCATTGAAACTTTCCCAAGGGGAGGTCCATCACTTTTCAGGGGAGGTGCAAAAGCCAAAATGATCTCAGGGGAGGTGAGGTGCGCGCCTCCCCACACCTCCCCCCCAAAAAAAAACCCAACTTTAAATATAACTAAAGATAGGATAAAGCGACTAAATGGGCCTTAAATATACGAATTTATACATATACTGTACATACTGCAAACTTCAAGGAGCCGAACGAACCCCAAAAGTGATACTCTGCAACCAAAAACAGTTCATAAGCGATTACAGAATAACACCACATCAGTCATAAACGCATAGACGACGTGTACACAACAATTACTGATAGCTAAGTCTTATGGCAAGGACAGTCACGAGTCGACGACCACGTACAGACCATGTCAATGTCATAAACGGAACTAACTAAGATACATTTTAATAGAATATGGACGGCTAGTGAAAATGTCAGGTGAAATCAGGTCTTTCCAATTCTATTAAAGTACGATGATTGGAAGGTGTTAGTTTTGCAGAGTTGACTTTTGGGTCTATCCAGTGTGTTATCAGATCAGTTCACGCGAGTCTTGGAAGGCCATTATAGGCCGTGGGCTGTTGTGCAAAAAAGTGCCTAGAAAAGCAATTTCGTGGCACCCTCCTGGGAAATAGATTTTCTGTGGTTTAATTCATAGAACCATAGATGCTTAATTACCACAAAAAGTTCCCAAGCAAAAAACCTGCCCAACACCGAGAAAATGCGTGATCAATTATTATTCTCTATTAAATTGTATTACAGCAAGAAAATGTAAAATTTTGTATTCAATTACAACAAAAATGACTTGCATTGTCAGAAAGCTTACAAAAACCTACATATAAGACGTTTAAACAGTTTTTTATATCTATAATTGTTTTCGAGTTATACGCTGTCAAAAACGCGTTTTTGACCTAGTACCCAGTCCTTATTGCGACATTTTCCAATTTTCACATTTAAAACAGCAATACCAAATACTATTTGAAAAATCAAAAAACTGTTTAAAAGTCTTATATGCGGTTTTTTGTACGTTTTCCGATGATGCAAGTCATTTTTATTGTAATTGAATACAGAATTTCCCATTTTTTTTGCTGTAATACAATTTAATAGAGGATAATCATTGATCACCCATTTTCTTGGGATTGGGCAACTTTTTTGCTTGGGAACTTTTTTTGGTAGTGATGTACCTATATGCCTTTCAAATAAACCCCAAAGCAAGTATTTCCCACATGGGTGCCACGAAGCGAAATAATTTTGGCCAACAGCCCACGGCCTATTACTGTGAACAGAGTAACAGACGTAAAACATGACGTCATTATTCCGCTTCGGCGCAAGAATTGCTATAACCAAAAATAAAACTGCAACACCCCACTCCTTGTCACCCTTTCGAGAGGCATTTCACGACTACACTACCACTGGTTAGTGTTGAGGTTTGAATATTTCTATTTTATCAGATATGAAATCGTGATGTTTTAAAGACAATGTCACATGGAATGTTTTACTGCATCATCTGATGGTCGTAAGATTTCTTAAAGAAATGTGTATAGTTTTTAACTTAATGTAAATAACAAAGCTTCCTAGCTCCTAGAATTTATCTGTGAAACACCGATAAAACAGAGAGTATATGATATATACTTGTACAGAAAAGCGACGACATATTGTGGACATTATGTTGAGCCTCACATGCGTGAATATGTTAATGTTTTAAAATTTAAATATCTTTATGATATTACAGGTAAACTACGTGAAGCGTTCCTCTTGAGTTTCTAAATTGATTGCAATTTTCCTCATTACTTTTGCAATTTAAAAAACTCCCTTGCAAATCCCTTGAGGAAATTTGCAATGTTGCTAAAACCCAATTAAATTTTCCTAACTTCCTGTTAGAAGTTCCTAACTTCCTGTTAGAAGTTCCTAACTTCCTGTTCTGTTCTGGGCGTTGCAATTGGCTAACAAAAATAATCGACCAATAACAACGCTCAGAACAGAACAGGAAGTTAGGAAATTAAAACAGGAAGTTAGGAAAATTAAAAATGAAGTTTGTTTGCATTGGAATATTGCAACAGCCGATAGGAACATTGCAAATTCCCTCAAGGGATTTGCAAAGAGTTTTTCAAATTTGCAAACCTAATGAGGAAAATTCCAAATGAGTTACGAAGTCAAAAGAGGAACGCTTCACGTAGTTTACCTGTAATACCTTGTTGATATTATCAGACTTGTTCCAACAAGTCCGATACAGTCATGATATAACCATATCGTTACAACCTTGTGTGATCAACCTTGTAACATTCTTCTTATATCATGACTGTATCAGACTTGTTAGAACAACCTTGTGTCAAGTCTGATAATGCCATCAAGCTTGTTACAAGTTGTTAACAGCTTGTTCCAAACTTGTTACAACAACTTGAACACAACGTGTCGACAACAGATTTGTAACAACGTGCTTGCAGACCTATAACAACTTGTGCGTTTTTACGTATGTAGTTGTTGGAACAAGTCGAAATGTCGAAATTCATCTCTATAAGATAAAATTTTCGACGCCCGCTATTAATTAGGGCTGTGTAAAAACTGGAACATATACCTATTGTTTTGCATTTTTTCAGGACATCCTGTATAACCTATCTAAAAGATATCCGGTACGACAATGCCTACAAGCAGTTTCAAATGTCTTGGTTGGGACAGATTACAAAAATCTTTAATTTCAACTAACGTCATTTCCTCCCCTCCCCCCCCCCGCCCCTTATTCAATGTTGTGTGTCATTTTCGGTCAGATTTTGTGCGTTTTGGTATATAAGTTGAGAAAGCAACATTGATTGGGGAGGGGGAGCGATATTGTGCGTAAAAAAATTATAGAGATTGACTTACAATCTAAAACTGCATGTGTCCCGACAACTTTTGAAAGTGATTGTAGCTCAATGATAAAGTGTAAATATAGATGCCCCTGATATTTCTAGTTAAATACCAGTTTAAGGTAGATAAGGCTGGGAGAGGGTTATGCCCCAGTGATGAAAGTACGGTAGACCTAGCAGCCTTACAGTGATCTTATACTAGAATGTACGTAGCATAAAAGCCCATGTTTTCTTTGCCGGTAATGTGATAGGGGTTTAGTCCCGGGTAACAGGCAGGCGTTTTTTGGAGACAGATTTTACGGGGGAACACATGCAGATCACCATTGCCAGTGGCCTTCCGCCATAGACTCTAGCTCGATTCCAGGGTTACCTTGTGGTACAAATGCCTCGCTGCTGTGACCAGTTCACAAATGCTTTGTCGAAAGCTCCAGACCACATATTCCATGCTACATTCCATGCACTTTCATAATCACGGTAGTAACGTGGTGAATGAACGCAAAACCATGCAAATGGCAAACAAATTACAATAACAAGCCAACGGTTTTGGTACTCTATAGTAGTCAGTACGGTGTCTGTGAAGTACAGACTCTATTAGTTTCGGATTTTCCCTTCACCAGAGGTGTAGTGCGTTATAACTTTTGTCCCCTACACCGTCATACGTCGCTGTTATACCATAGTGAACGTCACATCAAAGTAAACACTTTACAATCGAGATTAAATCTTTTCAATAGTTTCCAGTTAAACAAAGAAGCTTAAGAATTTACAAAGCACGAGATTCTTTCCTTTCTCTGCAAGAGATATGAAATTTCTGTCGGGTAGAACCTTGGCAAAACCAAGCACATAACTTTATCATGTTCTTCGCTATTCTTGTTTAATATATATTTTGTGCAATTCGAGTCTTGAACGTGGATATCAATAAACTTGGCAGCCTTTTTGAATTGTTTTTGCAGGAAATATCTAATCTTTGAACATCTCCATCAGCTTATATTGATGTTGATCGGTTTATAAGTACGGCAAGGTTTCCTGTGTTGCATATCTGCATAACAATCAAACCGACCACACTACAGGCGGGGAATTGGTCACAGTTTAGCGATCAAGCTCTTTTTAACATATGACTCGATTTACGTGAATGAATGCTTTCGTTCTTTGCGCTGTTTTAGAGTTGCCAAAAGCCAAGATTTCAGGTAAGCACTGTTAACATTTCCTGTGCTGTAACGTCAACTCGTTGATAGTGTTGTACTTTTGTAATGAACGATATAGTCTGCTCGATGAGTAGGACATTTTGACCTTAACGACAAGGTCTATGGCTATAGTCTGTTGTTTATTTCCATCGCCTGCTTTATGAATGTACTGTTTTCAAAGATATTATTAGCAAAATATTATACGCAAATAAAAGGATACGAATTAAATTTAATGTCAATATTGTTGAAATGAAGTTGTAATTGTGAACAGACTTTTACGGTGTCTTCTCGATTACATGTTATGCATCCGCGGCATGCCGTGTATCTCTGCGACCTCACTGAAAAATTGAAGGAATTTCAAAGAAACTACTATGTTTTACTTTGTTCCGTAGTGCCATATCATTAAGCACAATCGTGCAGAGAAAATAACACTGGTTATTTTCGCTATAGCCTATATGTAGTATTTATTTATTTGGAGGTAAATAATAGAATTGAGATACCTGTCGACCGACTCTGTTCTCTGAAGAGTGAAATACATCTTCAGCTATAAAGCTGGTAAACGTCTGCAGTTTCATTCGTAATGCTTGCTATATAAAAAGCCGACAAATATTTTACAATCAAAACCAATACGGAACCTTAAATCACCCCGTCCCCGGTTTATTGTTTGTGCAATATTAAATGTAATATGTTGTTCACTTTGTTTAATTAATGTATATATAGTCATGCCGATAATCAATGAACGTGCAAATATAAACATTGAACGATTATTCTATCGATGTTAAGACTGAGGCATATATGTATTATAATCGGTTCTGTTTCAATAAGCGTTTTTATTACGAAACACTCATCAAACGATGTTACAGTTCGGGAATATTGAATATTCTCGAAGCAAATCCTCATTAATTGGCCTACATGAAATAAACTGACTACGACATCAGATTGTGAAAAAAAATTAACCTCATTATTTTCTCATTGTGATAACTGAGGATTGACCACATCTGCTGCTATATATACATATATTACTCTAATTTTCTAACTGAACTTAAGTCTTAACACGCTACATTCATGGCATGCCATTGCAGTAAACGCAGTTTTATTGTCTTTTGTTTTTGACATAATTTTGTTAATTCAACAGGTTATTGTCGCTATTTGCATATATAAACACAATAAAAGTGCCGTGAAGTCGAGTACTGTTTGTTCTTTCGGATTATACTGGCTCCAGTTTAGACATACATATACTGCTTATTTTTTAAGGTAGTAATATAACCACTCAGCACAGCATTTATATACATGCAAATAGGCCGGCAGTACGGCTCGCAATTTGCTTTTCAAACGGCCAAAGATGTAATTATTTTTTCACGATCATCCTCGCGGGTACCGTTTGCATTTCTCATCAGATTATAAAATTGTCCGTGCATAAACAGTGCCTTGCCCTTACTTCATCTTAGACTTAGTTTTTTATACACTACAAGTAAAATTATGCACTCACAGACACAATAACTCGAAATTTTGTATGGTAAATTCAGTCATTTTTTGAATAAAGTAAATCTTTACTAAGAAATTGGAGTAAATTTGAAACATTACTCATTAGTCAAAAATTTGCCATAATTTATGGCATAAATTTCAGTGAGGGTTTTACTCAATGAAAATTTCGAGTCACTGTTTTCGAGTCGGGGACTTTAATTGTGCAGTGTATAAGATGTCTTTAACACTACAGCATAACATGATTGTATTAATATGTATTATATTGAAACTGTATTTCATATTTTAGCTTAGGTGACTGTGTCAAGTTGGGTTAAAAGGATACATTATATACGTCATTTATAGTCAAATTTCTGGTGAGTGTAAAATTTTTGTTGTTTCATTAGGCCAATGAAAATTGATATCATGTTTCTCGTCCACAATTTTCAAAAATTTGAAGCGGGATTTTTTCATTTTTCATTATTTTTTGTATTTGAATTGCTTGTCAATAATTTCCTTGACCCAGTAAAAACCCCCATAAAAATCTGAAGTAAATCGGTGTATTATTCATTTTAATTTAATACGTCCTACACTACAGTATATTTCTATACATACCAGGGCTGACATGAAAAATAGAGGCATTCTGGCGAGTAATATCTTTAGAAAGATACAATTTGAGTTGCGCTTGCAGAATGCAGCAATAAGACTTTGATCTGGGGAACAATTTGGTGTTTAACAATCCTATTTTTCAAAAATAATGAATAATGAAAAATTTTCGTGCGGCAGATAAATCCCATGCGGGCGGGGACGAGAAACATGATATCAATTTTCATTGGCCTTACATGTTTTTGACACAAACGAGTATATGTGAAGTTTGCATTTATACGTGCATGTCATTCGTGGTTTCACCTCTATAAGCGTTATACGACCTCTATAACCGACCTGACCGCGTAGCTCAGTTGGCAGAGAATGGGGCTAGTATTCCAAAGGTCGTATAGGTTCAATTCCCACCGTGGCCGGGCATATTTTTCAAGCTCGCCCGGTGTGGATATACACTCAGAGTAACATCACAAACATCATATTCACCTGAGGCTGAGTACACAGGAAAAATAATATCAGAACTGTTCACAATTAAGGAGCTAGAAAGTTAAACTATTCATTTTACTAGCGGGTGTCCCAAAAAAAAGTACTCCGGTTTGATTTATAATAACTTCTAAACAAGTAAAGCTATGAAACTGAAATGACTTGCATTAAATAGAGGAAGGTCTAACTTAGATTTTTATATATCACAGTTGTATTTTACGTAAAAATTCACGGAGATATTAATGTTCAAAATCGGGAGCATATTTTGGGATGTGTCTAAAATTAGCGAAAATCGGCATATCAAATATTAACTCCAGCGTTTGTTTCCTTAATGACATATCAGGCTAACTTGTATTTCAGCGAATTGTCGTTAGGGTTTTGTAAGGGATATTGCGTAGATTTAGGCAGCTTACATGTAAGTCTTAGCTCATTGTTACCTGAAATATGAACGTTCGAAATTATGCAAGTATTTAATAGGTCTTTAGAAACTTAAAGGTACATGAAAGACTATGAAAGGCAGGCGCTTAAATTTTTCTTAAATAGCCTAATTTTTTTATGTTTTTCATGGTTTCAAAACAGAGTTGATTATTTCTCGGTTAAGAGCAGGATGAATATTATTCTTTAATGAAGGAAATAATATTGTTTTTTGCAAATACACAACACAGTAGCCTATCAACGCTACTATTTTGTTACGTTTTGTTCCAAAAATGTTGGATGTCTCTGGGGAGTTGCTTGTTAATTCTTATGGAGTTGTATGGTTTGATTGTGTTTCATTCTCAGTTTATTCTGAACTTGCCAAGATTAAGAAAAAGCAAACGAGTCTGGATGTTCTTTAACAAGATTTCAGAACGTTTCAGAAGTTAGAAGAGCTTCACAATTCCATTGTGACAGCATGCCCTAATTCAGAACTACGAACGATTGATGACGATCCTTCGCGATGCAGCTAGTGGTCTCATGAAATAAGGAACTTGACGTATTCGTGCTAGGAACACACGCGGATTTCGGAAGAATAAATCTGCTTGTATTTTGTAGATAATAATACTTTGTTTCATGGGCAAATCTTGATTAATATTTGATATGCCGTTTTTTGCATATTTCAGACACATCCAGAAATATGCTCCCGATTTTAAACATTAATATCTCCGTGAATTTTTAAGTGAAATACAACTATAATAAATCAAAATCTAAGTTAGTCCTTCCTCTATTTGATGCAAATTATTTCTCTTTAAAAGCTTTACTTGTTTATAAGTTATTACGAATCAAACCGGAGTACTTTTTTTTGGGACACCCGGTAGATAATTTTAGTGTCAAAGTTTGGAAAGTGCTAAATTAAATAAAGGCCCGTCGTTTACACTTTCGCTGATTTCTAGTGCAATTTTCTTCCCCTGGTGGATGTGAACGAGTGGATGAGCTACAAATGTTCATTCATCTTACTCGTTTACATCCATCAGAAGACGGAAATCGCACTAGAAATCGCAGCGACAATGGACGACTTGCGCTTTAGAAAAATTTTTAATCTGGGAATAACAAAAGATATTTTCGGAAAGAAGTTATCAAAATTAGAAAAACTGCAAATTAGTTTGGTTGCGAAATGTTGTAAAATACGGAAAATATAGCCCTGCGAAGTTGGCAAATTTAGTACATTTCTATTACGTGCGGAAATTGGTAACTAATTTAGTTGCCAATTCA